GCGTAGCATGGACCGTCTTTCGGATTCGCCCAGCCTCCTGGGTGCTTCCCTGCTGAGATTGTCAAGTGGCCAGCTGGCGGTGGAGAAGCGACCGAGGCGGAAAAATATGGAGAACCGTGGAGGTTTTAATGGCAGCACCTGTGGTTGTCGTGCGGCGCCCTTTAGGCGCGATGAGAAGGTGTCACTTCAGGCAGCGGTCAAGAGGCAGGAGTCTGTCCTCAATTACTGTCTCATCATGGAAATTCTGGTCAAGTGCGTAAATTACTGCATGGAATTTATGTTCGTAAGGCTGTAACACACTTCTTGTGCTTCCACGCGTGTAAGCAGTAATGTTGTTGAAGGTTCTGATCACTAGGATGAAAAGTGAATAGCCGAAATAACAAATCCCGTGTATGCTTACTAAAACGTTTAATAAATACCACAAACAGTCAGTGCATACTTATATTCAAACGACGTTCTTTGTGAGGAACAATGATATTTTTGGAAGTTTTTGAAGGGAAAACACTACTCATAAACTGGCAGGAAAATGAGGGCAATTGACGTTAAAATTAAAGGCAAGGTAAGGCGTACACTAGTGGGTCAAATAACTTATTCAAATCTGCCAAAACCTCCCTTTATAAACTGCGCCTGGTAGTCACTTGGTGCGACCAATATCACGCGCTCGGTAGGGGCCTTGCAGCTCTCTTGACCAAAGCGTTGGCCATATACAATTCTTGGTCTTCCTCGCGTGGGTTCGAATCCCATCTAGGTTGCCGATTTCATCAAAGTTGGGCCAAATAAACTATGCAAATCTGCCAAAACAAATATTAATTTATAGTAAGGTTTAGCATTTTTTCAAGTATGAGGTATTTTATGAGGCTTTTGTGTACAACCTACTATGTTCAAGTTGCTAGCTCCCTTGCCGCAGTATCCAACACGATCCATACCTGTGACAGTGTTCTGGAATGCCCATAACATGCAGTTTAGTAAGTGCAAGGATAAGTGAAAATGCGAAAAATGCCGGGAAACATTCAGACAATATTACATTTGATATAACCCAAAATTCTCTCTCGATCGTATGCAAACGTTAAAGCGGACGCCATTATCCGTAACACGATAAAAAGTTTAAAGAGTTTTGCAAGTGCCATTTCAAATCTCAGTATTTTCGCGGACAGCTGAGCTTTCACGCGTTTTGCAGTGTTTGGCACACGAATAACTATATCGATGCGTTTAAAAGAATCAAACTAATATTAAATGTATGCAATATAATGAAGCAGCGAAGAAGACCTACATTTGATCTAATGATACCTCTCCGAGTTTCAGTTGGACATATGATCGGGGATGGTCTCAGTTAAGAGCCACTATACTACATCCAGCTAGGTATGCTTGCAGCCATTACATTTTTAA